GGGGGGGGGGGGGGCGCCTGCGGCAGCTGCTCTTTGCTCATGAAAGAAGAGTTTCTTGCCTATCAGGCTCATGGCCAGAGAGGCCTCCTGAACAGCAACCGCCACCTCCGTCTCTGGGTGCCAGCGAAGAGCGGCTTTGTCAGTTGACCTACCATTGTGTGCCTTTTCCCCAGCTTGGCAACAGCCTGTCCCAGGAGGAGCCACTGCCCTACCTTGTCCACCAGCCCCTCCCCTGGCAGGTCCAGTGCGTGACCCAGAGCCGTCGCACCAGCCGAGACAGTGGGGTAGGTCCCTTGTTGCCTTCTTTGGGCTGCTGCCACCACGGGGTCTCCGTCAAGGAATGAGCAGAAGTGGGTTCAGGGAAGTCTCTTTCAAGTTCTGTGCTCCAAGAACAAAGAGGAAGAACTGTCACTGAAGGACAGGAAGTGGGTGAGTTGCAGGGAGGAAACCTGGGTTCTATACAAGCAGACTGGATCAGGGGAGCGCTGGAAGCCAGAAGGGGTAGGGAAAGGAAAAGCGCTGTGCCTTGGGATAGGCCCACATTGATGTCTAAGCCCAGAGGGCAGTAGAGTTCCAGAGCAGATCCAGCTGTTTTGGGATGTAACTCCTACCATTCCTGATGTTTGGTGAGGCTGCCAGCTGTTCACGGGAGCAGTAATTTAATGGGCAGGAACTGTTTTATATTTGTATTTATATTTATGTCTTGCCTTCCCACCACTGTGCTCAAGGCAGCATGTGTGGCACATTGCTGCACCTGAAAATGAGAAGATGGCTTGCTGAGGGTCACTTAAGGGGCTCATGGTAAAGTAGGCGGGTTTGAATCCAGGTTGCCCGAGTCTGAATCTAGCATGGTAGCCACAGTGCCATGCTGTTTGTCTTAGGTAATGTGAACTTTAACTTTGAACAGCCAGAGCGCTTCTGATACTGCCACCAGTTTCCAAAGCTGAGCATTAACTAGCTGAGCATTCCCTCTGCAGCATAAAATGAGAGCATTACCATCTCAGCACTTGCTCTGGCTTTGTACAAACAGTTGACTAATTGGAGAATAGAGACGGTTCTAACCACTAGTTATTCAATGCAGTGGGAAGGGTACATCTCTGGAGCCAATAAGCTTCTGCTGGGAGCTGCCTGCTGATCTCCCTGGATTATCCAGTTTGCAGCCTTGCTGGCAACTGGAAAAGGCACACAGCCTGCACATGCCGATGTGGTGGTGGAGGGTGGTGATGGTGGAGGACCGTGGTTGCTGTTAACATAACTCTGCTTCTTGATCTTTTCAGAAAGGGGGGAGTTCTCGGCACAATAGCATCTACGGGATCACAGGGCGAAAAGGTGAGGGGACTGTAAGGTCAGCAGACATTGGGGAAGGGGGGCGTTCTTGGGCCTGCACATCTGCTGAGTAGCTGTGAAAACAGCATTCCTCTCACTAGCCACCTGGTTGGAATGCCAGCATTTCTTACACTCAGGCCCTGACCATCTTGGTCCATACCTTCTCCACAGGCCTTTCCTCTCACCTCCCGCTCTTGGTAGAGCAGCAAAATTCTCGGTAGCTATCCAAAGTCATGTCCTGAGCAAATAGGCTTTGCTGCTGCTATTTTTGGTGCATACTGCACAATAATCGGATGAGAGGAAGTAAGCGGGGTGGAGAGTATGTGTGAGAAGGAGCAGGCAGTTGAGGTGGGTGGGGAGAGAGGATGACATTTATCTGGCTAGGCTTCCTTTCTTGCTCCGTGTGATCCAAGCATCAAGTGCTCGGCTAAAGAAAAGGCAAGGCAACAGTGGTGGAGCTGGCTGACCTGGCATCGCTCAGCATGTCTACTCTTCTCGTGATCTCCTTTCTTTCCTCCTCTGTCTCCCTAGGTGACACCAGTCCAGGCCCCAGTGCAGTGCCCTGCAGTGGGACGGAGGAACTGAGCGAGCCCACAGAGACGACAGCTGTGACTATCCAGATGCATTGCTGTAAACAGCAGCAGACATGTGAAAAGTAGAGCACAGCTCCTCTCCCAACCCTGATCCTTGGGTCCTTTGAATGCAAGGCAGATATGACTTTTGTGAGTTTGGCAGACCAAAGCTGTGGGGGGTGCTTTTTTTGTTTGTTTGTTTTTAAATGCTAGGAAAGATTACTTGGCAAACTTTGGCCGACTCTGGTCACATTTAAGTGATGGTCTGGGCTGAAATTTTTCCTCACTTGAGGACACAGCTGTCAGACGAAAAGGGAAATGTGATGCTACAGGTTGTATCGGCAGTAGTTGTGATTTAGGAAAGTTGTACGATTAGGGTTTCTGTACTGTCTGAGGGCATGCTGTGTCACATGCAGCTGTATTGCTAGGTGGCTAGTCTAGGCCTAGTTAATGCCCATGTGTTGCTCCTGCTGAAGTAGCATCTGCAGCCGTTTTCTTCCTCATTGTTAAAAAGTGCTTCCCCATGCCTTTCCTCCCTTGGAAAAAAAGGATTTCCCTGTATGTCTGAGAGAGGAAAGAACTATTTAAAAGATCAGGGTACACATAAAGAATGTTTAAAATAGTGGATAGTGCTTAAGGAGTTTCTGTGTGATTCAGGTTACATGCAGTTTACTGTGTGACATCTCACATTAACCATTTCCGCGACCACTGGGAGTGGCAGAATGCTTAAACCAGAATGCAAGCATTACAGGACGTGCTTCTGAGACAGCAGGCAGAAGAGATCCTGTCAGCTCCATGAGAGCAGGTGCCTTGGTTCTAGCCTCACTTGCTCCATGGCAATGGGTTGCTCGTGAGCGATTATCGCTCAGGCTGAACTGCCAGGTGAAATGGTGCCTTCATCGCCGCCCACCCACCACCTCTTGTTCACATTCAGTTAAAAAAAAAGAGAGAGAGAGAATAGTCTTTGCCTTCAGGTCTTAGTCTGCAAACATTACAAACCCATTTCATACACTTATGAGTGTGGCCCATCCCCAAACAAAGGGTTCTGATATTGTAGAAACATAGCTTTTATTGCACACTGCGCTGGCTTTTAGTTTGTATAGAAAAAAGGTAGTGACATAGAGGCAGATGCAAACTGAAGCAAGTCCCGTGTTTCTCAAACAATAACATGCAATGTCTCCACCGAGTCTCTGAAAAACCGACAGGGTGACTTGATTGGGGAAGGGTTGGTGAGGAAGAGGAGGCCGATCAACTCTGTGCTTCCACCAGCCAGTACGATGCGAAACAGAGATGAAAACCTCCACTAAAAGAGATTCCCCAATGTTTTGCACCTTTGGGTGTTTTTCCCCCTGTGAGTCCGGAGAAGAAAATAGTTTCATTTATACAAAAAAAGTCCATTCTGTACAAGAGCTTCTTTTATTTCAATATAAATAATGCAGGAAAAGAGCGAAGTCCGTGTCATCTTGTGCAGACTGCTAGACCAGTGTGTAGGATTTGGAGTAGGCGCCAGCTCCCTGCTTCTGTGACCTGCCCACACCCGATGTGCTCATTTCTAGCAGTGAGTCTCTGGACCCCCCCATTTTGGTGTGCGGGGGCAAGCGAGGCTCGGCAGGTGGAGCAGGTGCAGGCTCAGTAGTAGCTGCCGGGGCTGAAGTGGGGGCAGCGGCGGCGGCGGCGGTGGCAGCAGTGGCGGCGGCAGGGGCAGGAGGGGGAGCCGAGGCCGTGGCGGCAGCGCTTGCCGAGACTGGCATGGCCAGAGTTCTCTGAGGTAAGGTCGTCGTGGCTGCGCTTGCGTGGGGCGCTGCCAAGGCCTTACTGCTGCCGCCGCCGCCGCTGCCCGAGTCCAACGTCAGGTGCCTGGTGGCTTGGGTGTGGTAGGCCCGAGCCAGGTTCCGGATGGAGGCCTCGCGGGGCGGCACGACCGGGCAGGGCTCGTGAAGGTCCGGCTTACGGAAGAACGTTTCGGATTTCACGTACAAAGGCAGGTTGCAGTAGTCGCCTGCGGAGTCATCACAAAGAGGCAGAGTGAAAGCCAGGGCAGTTATTAGAACTGGGCAAGGGTGGACCAACTCCTAACCAGGGGCCACCCCGAATGACGCAGCCCGTGAAGATGTTCCTCATGCCTGGCCTGGCCTCTTTTGCATTACGCTGCAACGGAGGCTGGCCCTGCTTTTCCCAGGCTGCTTGCAAAGCTCCCTCCCGCTCTCCCTTCCCCAAGGCTGGGATTAAATCTGGCATAGAATTTTAGTGCACGAGTTCTTTACTGGCAGACATGTCCCGCTGCTGGACACAAAAGGGGTCTTGGTGCGATGCAGCATTTTCAAAGTAGTGGCAAATAATGCCTTCTTTGTTGGGGGACTTCTAAGTATGCTGAACGGCTGTCTGGAGCTCTGGGTTCCTGCACTGGCAGGATATAGACTAGATGACCCTCGGGGATCCTTTTCACTTCTATGATCCTAAACCACAGTGGTAAAGATGCCTTCCCTTTAGGTCAGAAGCCCCCTGGCACCATCAGGAAAACGGCCAACAGTACCAGCATTCCTGAGTGTGAGCCCAGCAAAAAGACTGCGCAAAATCTCCCTTGCCCCCCCCAATGTTTCCCGGTGCCACCTTGCTTGCACTCATCCTTTCCAACAAAGTAATCCAACATGTCTCCCCAGCTGTAGCTTCTCCAGCAACTTTCACTTCAAAGAAAAGCTATGCTGCTTCTGTGTTTTAGGCAAAAGCCCAGTGCATCTCAGAGTGTGTCCTTCAGAACAGCTTGCAAACATTGTGTGTAGGAGGGAAAACCCAGAGCTTCAGCTGTTGCTGGGATGCCGCTGCCCCGTGGGTGGGGGCGGAGAGTGGGCAATGGCTGTGCCCCCATCCCAAGTATTTCCACAGTCTTCTTCGTGGGAAACGTGGGGGGGGGGCGTGCTCAGCCCCAGGAGCCTCCCACCCCATACTTACTTTTATTGGCTCGATGAGGTATGGGCACCGCTACCCCTTTGCCACGGTCGCTGTCCTGTGGTTTGGGGGGCGATGCGGTGAAGCGGCAGATGCCTGGTTCCGAGGGGGTGCTCATGGAAGTCATACTGTCGGCGTTCTCATTGGTGCCTGTGGTCATCTGGTCAGAGGAGCTGTCAGAGATGAAGCACTCGGTGATTTCGAACTTGGCATGCTGCAGCTGCTCTTCCAGCTTAGCGTGCTCGTAGGCTCGTGCCAGCTCTTCGTAAGTAGAGGAGGCGCTCTCTGTAGACACCATACTGTTGCGCCCTTTATCTGAGGGAAGAAGGAGAGACCAGGGTTACCAAGCCAGGGCCCTGCCCCCAGCACACGGGCCGCCGCCGCCACCACCACCTCGAGTTGCCCAAAGCGTGTGGAAAAACAAGGCGGAGCCCTGGGCGTGCCTCGTGTAGCTGTGAGTCTGGGAGAGGTGCAGGCTGTGACCCGTCCTGGCCGGCCGGCCGGCCGGGCGCTCACCTGTGTCCTGGGACAAGCTTGCGCTGTAACTGTCACTTTCGGTCACCGTGATGCCATGCTGGGAGCCGACAGTCCTCCAGTCCGAGGTGAGAGTCCGTGCTGGGGTGGAGGCTTGGCACTTGGTGAGCGTCCACTGGCTTGAGTACCTGTTCCTGGTACTGTGTGCGGACTTCACACTTTTCCTGGAAACTGGGTCTGCAAGGGAGAGCCCGAGTCAGGCCACCCTGGCCATAGAAACGGCGAGGGGCAGCAGTGTCAGAATGGTCTCACGTGGGGCTGAGCTGCCTCGGAGCTGCTGCAGCACCCTTCTCCCCATGACCGTGCTGAGCAAGAGCACTTGAACACAGCGCTCCTCTTGTAGCCGACAGCTCTGGTTTCACTAGTTTTCATCAGGAGATCTACCTTCCATGTCGGCTAGATGGGATTGCACCCTCCTGAAAGATCAAGGCCACACTGTCTGGAGTGGCTCTCGGCCCAGTGTGAACAGGAGGCGGCTCAGTGCCAGTTCAGTTGGTGGTGCTGACAGGAGGCCTGTGTGGGCTTCCTGTTTAGGTTGCCACTGCGCGCTGCCAGTGGGACTGCTTTAAAAACAGTCTGGACGCTGCAGTTGCTCCAGAAGAGAGTCGCCACGTTATGGCTTGGGTGTGTTTTGGCCCCAGCTCTTTGCTCATGCTGTGACTTGTACTAATTGGTTTTAACCTAGGAGGACGGGCCCAGGCTAGCCATCTCCCACCTGCATCTACGGCCACTGTGCAATTTTCACCCAAGGTCATCCTGCTTCAAACACCCTGAAGGAAGGCGAGGCTAAGTTTTAGGTTGCTGGGGGGGGGCATTGCTGGCACTGGCATTTGGCCTCTGGCATGTCGTGCCCTGAACAGAAAGCTTTCCAACGCAAGGTGAAAACATTTTTCTTGGCCCAAACATTTTCAATAACTTGCCAGTTTCCACCATCTGTTCCGTTGTACCAGTATAAAACCATTTGTACAGATTACCGGGGGGGGGCATTTTTATGAAATGCATGCTTGTGAGACATCCACAAAGGTTTTGTTATAGGGTAGCTATACAACAAGAGAGTCAGGGAGGGGTTGTGACTAGGATGTGAGAGACATGGGTTAAGGTGTAAATGTGGCTATGAAACTTGTGGGTCCCTTTGGACCAGTCACTCTCAGCTGATTTACCTCACAGAATTTTCATAGATGATAGGGAAGAAAAACCACCAGATATACTGCCTTATGCTCATTTTTTTAAAAGGCAGTATAGGAATGGAAAAAAATGCATGTCTGCATTCATGCCAACCTCAGGAAGTCCTGGATGGCGGAGTTGATCTGTGCCATTCTAGCTGCAGCCCCCCCCCCCCCGCGTGCACTCACACGGACCTCCTGGTTCCGTGCACTTCTTCCGCCCCACTATAGGGGGCCTCTCCCGTTTGCTCCCATCACCTATAAACACGTTCCTTGCGCATGCTTCATCCTGGGCACCTCTCCCTTTTGTACTGCGACCTCCAATCCAGGCATATGATGGGGCCACCGTGGAAGATTAGCGTCACACCAGCAGCAGCAAGGCTGGTAAGGTGGAAAGAATCAAGCTTCCAGCAAGGAAGGCCCTTTGCCGCTGCCGGTGCTGCGGAGGAGGAGGAGCCCGAGGTGACTGGCCAGGAATGGGCACTTCCTGTTCAGGCCAGTCTTTGCTGGAACTGGGGCTAAGGGTGTGTGTGTCCATGTCCTGCAGCACTTACTGGTACCAGGACGAATATCAGACATGTCTATCAGAGGCCCGGTGTTTTGGATGAGCGCTGGATGGTGCAAAGAGACACCGGTGCAGAAGCTCTGTGGATTCACTGCCTGGTTGAATTCAGTGTCAGTCACTGGAATTGTTGCTTTGTCGTCTCCTGTGGAAAGGAAGCACAGATAGTACCTTGGAGGATGACGGGCGAGGGTGCCCTTCTTTTGAGACTGCTGACTCTGTGCCACCAAAACTGCATCCATGCTTCCCCCCCTCCCCCAATACCCCTTGCCATGTTTGGTCTGTGTATCCTTTGGGGAGGGCTCCCTCCACAGATGAAAGCAGAAGCCAGGCTTCAGAAGAAGAGGGTAATCTGCCAGAGAGTTGGGTGAAAGAAAGGGAGGTGGCCGTGTGCTGTTTGAGGCCGTCAAAGGAGGCCAAGGAGGTGCGCTTGGAGGCTTTGATCCAGCCCAAGGTGTGGGAGCTGCTCACCAATCTGCTTGATGCCTTCCTTGTCCTCAATGAGAAGCTGGACCCGGGGGATGTCAATGTGGAGGCGGGGCCCTTGTGGGGGTCCTTTCACAGGGGTGTCAAAGCTCCGGTTGTTTTTACTGGAAAGGAGCAAAAACGAAACAAAACAACAAAAAAAGTGCGTCGGGTAGAGACACGCAATGGAGCCAAAGAATCAAGAACCAGCAGATGACTCTCAGTCATGGGCAGCTGCTCATCATGGGAGCTGGGGCTGCTGACCACATCCCTGGGGGAAGAAGGAGGCCTTGTTCTGCTAGTGGTGTCTGGGTGGAAGGCAGCAGCTAGGATGGACTGCCCTGGAGCAAATAGAGAACCCCTCCCCAGGTCTGCAGGTGCCCCCATGCTTAAAAGCTGCCAGCAAGTCTGTCCTGTGGGGTCAAAGTACAAAGCCAACCAGCTTGCCATAGAATGTGGCAGTGGAAGCAAGAATAAGGGGCCTCCAGTCCCATGCCCTGCCCCTGACATTCCTTACCTGATGAGCATCTCAGCCAGACTCTTGGCATCTGCAAGGGGAGAAGAGCAAAGGCTTAGTCCAGAGGCCACAGCTCACCCCCTTCATTCCAGGGCAGGAATGAAGGCGCCGCGCCAGGCCTTCCCCAAGTCCTTGCACCAGAGCTTCCGGAGGATCCCATTGGAAATCTGAGGCCTCAAAGGCACCTCACAGGGCAGTGGCCACTTGGGGCCCATGTGGTGCAAGGAAGGAAAATGGAAAGGAGAGGCTGCCTCTGCTCCTGGATTACTGAAAACCACAAATATACCCTGTTTTCCCAAAAATAAGACCTAACCTAAAAATAAGCCCTAGTATGATTTTTCATGATGTTCGCAATATAAGCCCTACCCCCAAAAAAAGCCCCAGTTAAGTGAAACCCTGCCCTCCACCATTGTGCAGCAACTAGAAAATGACATGAGTGTATTTGAATAAATGTAGATTGTTGTACATGAAAAAAAATAAAACATTCCCTGAAAATAAGCCCTAATGCGTTTTTAGAGCAAAAACTAATATAAGACCCTGTCTTATTTTGGGGGAAACCCGGTACAACCATATCCTTGACAAGAAATAGAGAAGACCCCTCCCTCCCATAATGCCCCCCAATACAGGTGGCTGCTGCATCTCCTTCCCTTTTTCTGCTGGGCAAGCACTAACCCCCACCCCCACCCCTTCCCCCAGATAAGCCTCCCCCCAAAGGCCACAGCTCTCAGGGCCGGGTTCCCACGTGCGCTCACCACGCAAACGCTTCAGGCGCTTCTCCTTCCGCTTTTTGCGGATGACGAAGAGGAGGGCGACACCCACCGTGGCCAAGATGACAGGACAAGCGATGGTGAAGAGCTTCTTCACGTCGTCCCCCTCACCCTGGGCAGACTTGATGGGGGGAATGGTACCTAGGACAGGGCAGGATTCAGGTACAGGTTAGGAAGGTGGGCTGCCTGGACGGAGCACAGCACGGCCCCTGCCACCCACTCTTGTTCCCTTCCGCACTCACTCCCATCGTAGTCCAAGGTAGCGAACTGCATGGTCTCATTGCCGCAGCCAGCGCTGTTGCAGGCCTTCATGCGCAGCTCATACCACGTGGCTTCCCGCAGCTCCGTCAGAAAGACTTCATGGGAATAGTTGGCCCGCATGCTCTGCCAGGCCCAGGTGCCCTTGGGCCTGTACTCCAGCACCACGGCCCGGATGGGGCATCCGCCGCTGCTCCAGCCCTGCAGGTTCAGTCTGGCATGTGTAGAGTTGATGTGGGTGAAGAGATGCTGGTCCTTGTTGAAGGAGGGCTCTAGGGAGAGAGGGAGAGGCCACGAGGGGCTTGTTCAGGACAGGCCATGGCACAGCGGCAATGGGAGCAAACCACCTAGGGAGGGCCACGTTTTCAGGAATACATGGCATTTGGCATTCTGAAAATTGGGGCAACCTTGAAAACATTGCACCTGGCTGACCTCACTAAGAAAGAGCGCCAGGGTTGCCCTCAGCTCAGTTTTTCAAATGGATCCAAGATTTTGAAGAAACTCGCCAACATGCTTAAGTGAGGGGAGTTTTTAGCTCTTTCGGGCTACCTGGAAGCTGTGCGCTCTCCCTCCTTCCTCCTACTCCTTCCCTCTCAACGTGAACTCTGAACTAGGAAGCATCGGACAAGGCAGGCCCACTTGGCATTCCTGGAGCTCAGGTTAGAAGAGGTTGTCAGAAACAGCTGAAAGGGCAAACGAGGAGTCTCCCTGTTCCGCTGCTTCCACCCCATGGGCTTGTGGGGGGAGGCGCCCCCCCATGCGCCGCTTCAACTTGCCAGGGAGTTGAGAAGCCACATTCAGAGAAAGGAAGGGCCCAGCAAAAAAAAAAAGAGGATCGGCCTCCCTTCTCCACGGAATAGCTATTACGCCAAGCAAAGGTGGTGTTTTTGAGGGGGCGCAGCGCCCCATTTCTAACCCACATCCCTTCCTACAAAAACAAACAAACAAAAGCAAGGGAGGTTGGGGGGGCGGGAAGAAAAATTGGAATACATGCTGTCCAAGACAGAGCCCTGAGGCAGAGGAGCAGCCGCGGTTCCTCCCAGGGGAGGACACCAGGAAGGTTTGCCTCCTGAGACCAAGGTGGGAAGCAGGGCCAGGGCAAGCGGGGTGGGAAGAGGTCAACTCCCAAAGGCTCCTTCATCCACAGAAGGGCCGACGGCCCCAAGGCCAGGCAGGTTCCCATCTCGGAAAGCAGCAAAAGACCGCAACCTCCTGGGCTACGAGCTGCAAGGTGCAGGGGAGGGGAGGCATGCCCGGTTGTCCACGGCCTTCCTTGGTGTACCTCCATTAAGGGAG